CATGTTGACCAGGATGGTCTCGATCTCTTGACCTCGTGATCCACCCTCCTCGGCCTCCCAAAGTGCTGGGATTACAGGCGTGAGCCACCGGGTCCGGCCAAGACATTTCTCTTCTCTGGAACAGTTTCCCTCTGGGGTCTCTCTCATGGTGGCCCCCTTTCTCGTAGGCTACCGATCTTAGGGCCCTTCCCAACTACAGTAATAGCTCTTGTAAACTGAGCAGTCACTCAGCTGAGCCCTGTCTTCTGAGTACATGCAGCATAATCAGATTCAAAGTGGACTCAGTCGTGGTTCCCACTTTACGGATGAGCAAACAGGCAGAAAGAGGGTAAGTCGGAAGTGCACACGGCAAGTTAACAGCCTGGATTTGACTCCAGAACTTGAGCTGTGAATGGCACTTCTGAATCTTGAGGTTAATGAGATTTCTTCACAACTGGCCTGGGAGGGATTAATGCCACAAATGTATACTGAAGGCTGATCGTGGACCACCCACTTCCCTTGCTGCCTGTGCGTGGTCATCAGAGGCTGAGGCTCTCTGTGGCAAAGGAGGAACACCGAGGTCTCCTTGCCCCAAGGCCTCTCCCAGCTGTCTCCACGAGGACTACTGGACTCCTGCCTGGGCCCCTGCCCCCGGAGTCCCCCTGTTCTTCCCATTTCTCCGCATTCCTCGGGCCCACGGATGTGGAGCTCACTCCCTTGGAGGGCTCTGGGGAAGGAGGCGGCCGACTCCGCTCACCTCCTGCCTGTGCTAGGGAGGCGAGCAGCGTCAGGTGCGGCTGATATCCCTGCGCTCGGCCTTAGGCTGACTCCCGCGTGTAGGGCAGAGATGGGCCGGGGTCTTAGCGCAGGGGGCTCTGAGTCCTAAGGACAAGGTCGCACGGAAAGGGCACTGAGATCTACCCGGCAGCGACGACCCTCGGGACTCCAGAAGTTAGGACCACTTAGGCCGCCAGAAACGACTCCATGGCCTCTAGGCGGCCCTCCCTCAAGGGGCCATAAGAGAGCCAATCGAAGGAGGACTGCTCTGGCGGCCAACCAATCAGCACCAAGGATTGCCGTTGAGGCGGGCCCGCGAGGGAAGTCGCCAGAGAGGCGAGGGCCCAGAAGGCGAGGGCCCAGGGGCTTTCCTCCGCGGAAGTGGTCCCGACCCTCTGCGAGTGGATTGGCTGCTCCGGCTTACCGGAAGTGCCGCTCACGCCCCTGCTCTTCTGCGCTTGCGCAGCCGTTTCCCTTGTAATACGCGCGTCTCCGGTTACTTTTTTGCCGGCGTCTTAGTCCATTTGTTTGGCTCTTTGTGCTGCGCCATCTGGTCGTGTTGGTGGCGGTCTTCAGTAACCGGGACCTTGGAGGGATAGCTGATGTGCAGGGCCAGCACTGGGGGCGAGCTCAGGGCCGGCAGGGATGATGGGCTCGTGGAGTGAGGCCCGCAATCCTGCAGAGGGCGTTTCCTGTTGACTCACTCCTTGCTGGGGTGAGACAGTTGTTAGGGTTAGGTTTGCATTTCAGAACGTTCTGGTAAGGGCTTTGTAGCAGGGTGAGAATGAAGACCTGTGCAAGAGAAGAAGCCATAAGGGTTCAAGATGCCAGGCGAAGCCACTTGTTATCAACCTTTGCTCGTTCCGCACCTGGGAGAACTCGAGTGGTTTCCTCCTAGTGCACACGTCACCTCTTAGCACCCTGGTGCAACTCCTATTCATACTTCCCCATACCAGACTTCTCAGCTCTTGGGCACCTCCCTTTCATTTCCTGCAGGCACTTCACATAAATTTTCCGTTCCCCCACCATTTCTAACCTTTCGGAATTTCTC